CTTTCTTCAACTCTTCCTCGTACTTTTCCCCTCTCCCTCCACCCACTCCCACCTCCAACTTTCATACAAGGAGGAACAACAAGACTATATATTAGAGTCCGTGAAAAGCAGACCGACGCGCGGCTGTGACCTGCTATGGACCTGCCTCCAGTACGGTACCCCCAACCTTTCACGTCCCACAATAACAGGAAGAGACCAATTCCTTCGGGATACACAACCCCACGCACGTACTACGTACGGCCGCTAAATGGCGAGACAACGGGGCTGTGGCCGTTCCCTTGAATTACAAAGTTATATCTGTTAAGTACCTAGTTTTGCGAAATTTGACTTTTTTTTTTGAGTTTCATATCATGTCAAACTTTTTTCAATGCACTTCTTTGAATATCTTGATAACGACTCCGAATAATCTTACGATTTTGATAAAAGCAGATAGTACCTTTTACTTTTGTTTCTGACCTTTTGACCGTAGTAACTGAAAATGGCAAAAAAAATGTCAGGATGGAACTTGGTAATTCTAAAGTAGAGAGTTGTTATGGCCTTATGGTCGTGTGTATTGTATGTACGTGTTTAACACCGCTATAAATACTCTCAGGTTAGTGCAGGATACACCCCCCCTCCCAACCTCTTTGCACTGACGGCATGGCCCAATGGTGAGACAACGGGGCCGAGGCTGGCGTTATGGCTGCAGGATAGTGTATGGTATGGCGGGTTATTGCAGACGTGGGGGAACTCACCCTCCACCTCCCAACCAGCCGAATTTTACGCTTCCTCCCAGGTCGATGTTAATATCACTATCACCAACATTATCATCATCATCACCATTATATTTATCACTACTATTATTAATCATCATCACCATTAGATGTAGTTGTACATGTATTGCTATTACTATTATTTTTTAAAAATTACTGTTACTATGGTTATTGTCATTGTCACCATGATATTATCAGATTCTTCTTCATATCTTTTTACACTATTATGGTTATGGTGATATAATCATTACAAGGAGAGAGAGAGAGAGAGA